CTACAGACAAGTGGGTGCATTTTATAGATATAGAGGTAGACAGATATACATCCATATACATATATACTCAAAAGGAGGGCAATGGGGAAACAGATTCTGACTATATCACAGTTTGATTCTTGGGCTGGTCTTGAGCCAGCACAACTGTTCTTTGCTCAAGGTTTGTGGTAAAGCCACAATTCAGCCCTAAGGGCCAGATTCTGATATTACTCATTATGAACTAGAGTAACACACCCAACAAGTAGCCCTACTGAAGTCAATGGGACTACTTGTGGATTAAGCTATTACTTAAGCATGGCAGAATCTAGTCCTAATGTTATATAGGACAAGTGGAAGGTATAAGCAGCTGGGATGAAATGGAATAAGGATGGACAAGAAATTACAAACAGTATATCATACAGTTAATCTCTTTAGACATATGTTTCTCATGATTATTCAATTAAACTTTAAAAAAATTATTGGCTCACTTTTTGCATACAAGCAGGAAGTTAATAAGGGATTTGAATGAGAAGAGGTAGCAGCTTGGCATCTCAGAACTGGGAGGTCATTTAATGCATAGAAGGTGGGGTGGTAAAAAAGTCTGTGGGGAAAGATGTTGGGTCAAAAGCAGACAAATGGGGCATTGAGACTGGCATCATTAGTAAAGAGCAGTGGGAATGGGAAGATATAAGAAGAGTATGTTAGACTGAGCAGAGGTGGAGTTGTACAGGGCCTTGAAACAATGGGAATTAAATTTGATGGTTTTATAGAGAGTTGGAGAAAGATCCCGAAACTTTGGTCCATGGCCACCACTCAGCTATAGAGCACATGGTAATGGCTCATCTTCTTGTATCCAGCTACTAAGTTACACTGAAGGAAAGCTAAAATAAATACTAAATAATACCTCTCTTTTTTTAATGTAAGCATTTTCTGTAACTGCCACAGAATGTTCTATGACTGCAAACGGAGGGGAGGAGTTTGTGCAATGGTGAATGGATAGGAGGTATCCACAAGATAACCCCTTTATTAAGATATGGTCCACACTGAAAAAAAAAAAAGAAAAAAACTAAAACCCTCTGCTGTTGAAGAAATATCCCAAACTAGTCTATTTAACATTCTGAAAGTCCTGATGCTGACATTTCTGATATCCTAGACAATGCTGCTGATGCCACGACACACTACACAGCAAGGGCAATAGGACAACGGGCATTCACTGGCTTTTTGGACAGTAAGACAAGAAAAATCCATTTCTGTCCCCAGGAGACGCTACAGAGAGTCATTAAAAACCACCAGCTAGTTCAGTGCAGTGGAGTCCTGAAGGATAATCCAGATATGGTTTTGGAACAATATCCTGATGCTGGGGAAAAGAATCAAGCAAAATGGTGAAGAGGGGGTTTTACCTTGTGAAATTATTTAGCTTCCCTACACATGAGAAAAAACAGCTTCCTGCCTAAAATACTCATGAATAAATCTTTAAATAATTTGGGTGTAAAAATATTAGATTTCTGCCATGTAAGTGCCAACAGGAGTTATCTTAATTTAAGCACCTAACATTTATCCCTGTTTTTCTTTTTGTTTATGCTCTACTCTCTTTCCGGATCACCCATTTATAGTACAGCATATTTGGGAATCTCTCTCATTTTACACTATTATGATACCAAGGGATAGGCGACTCCCTTTGACATGAAGAAAGCTCTTTGAGTGGTGGCTGGAAATGAGGGGAGAAGGGTGCTAACCCCCAGCAGTTAAATCCCTCTCTCCTTTAAACAAACACAAAGTGTTTGTGGCAGTTGCCTTTCTTTGTCCCTTTCTCTCAAACAGTGCAAATGAAGAGAGCAGTGAGGGTTTCTGGCAGCATCTATCCCCTTCAGTGCAATATCAGAGTGCAGTCTGTAGACGGAAGGGCAAGTGGCCCCCAGCCCCTAAAATTGCTAATCTTTCCAGTGAAAGTAGAGAGCAGCACTGCAATCAAAAGCATTCTCAATAGTGAATTAGCACCATCATAGGCAACCTTTGTATTTATGCGAGTCCTGAAGAACTACTTTTTTCACCATATCCTCCCTACCCTGTCCACAAACTCCTGTTCACTATTGATCATAGGGCTATGCAACGTTCTAGTTTAAGGTTTTTTTAATGATACTCCCCCAAATAAAACTGTTACATACACTCACTTTTTGCATAAAATGAAAGTAAAATTTTGGGTGCCCTGTAGCCTCCAGTTGCAGAAGTGGAGCCCAGTTGATTGTCGCGTTTAACCCTAGTAGGAAGCTAACCACAGTTTATACTTTCAATCCTACCTTCACAAGGGGAAAACACTTTTTCTGTGAAATGAAAATTGAGAATATTCTCTCGTTTCCTCATTGGCAGAATATTCAGCAGCAGACTTTGTGGTTCCCAAAGGCCCACTCTGTGTGCAGTGGCCATCTTCTGATGCTATTGTATAAATCAATAGTATGCCCTCACCTGGAATAATGTGTTCAGTAATGGCCACTATCTCATGGAGGATTTAGCAGAGACTGGGGGTGAGGTGTCCAGTGACAGGCAACATGAGTATAAAAAACTCCATATAAGGAGAGAGAGTGGAAAGTTTCTGATTGTCTTCAATCTAAGATTAACAAAGAAGATGGGACATGATAAAAGTATATAATAATAAAAATAAATGGTATGTAGAAGGTAGACCAAGCTCCTCTATTCACCCTCTCATAATACAAGAGTAAGGGACATTCAATAAAACTGAAAAGCAAAAAGTTTAAAACTAATGAAAGGAAATATTTTTCCACACATGGAATTAACTTGTGGAACTCACTGCCACAATATATCCATGACACCAAGAGCTTATCCAGATTTTAAAAAGAATTTGGCATTAAAGTGAGTAACAAGAATATCCACAATTATTATAGTAAGGATTTTTGTTAAGAACAGGTTTTTTTGAAGCTATATAAACCTTTGTGATTCAGGGCTTAAGTCAACCTCTAAATAATGGAGGCTAGGACTTTTCCTCTGGGCAGGCTATTGCACAACTTCCTGCAGACTCCTCTCAAACATCTGGTACTAGCCACTGTTTGACACAGGATGTAGGACTAACTGGACCACTGGTTTGATCACTATGGCAGTTCCTGTGCTCTGTTGAAACAAATACAAGCTTTGTGCTTATTATAGTACACTGAAAAGGTGACTTGCTCAGTTTTTGTGTGCAAGTTAATCAGACTTTTAAACTGTGCTGCTAGACACACCTCACCCTTGCCAGTCTATTCCTGAAAGCATATCCGAGTTCTATTACAATAACTCCGTCTCTAGGTTTGCCGAACATATTTAGTTCATTAAGAAGGTATTCTGCTAAAGTCACATTCAGCTCTTATCAAAGTTTCAATTCACGCTGTCAATGAATGCCTTCTTCTGTATATTGCCCAAAGGTTAATTGAAAAACAAAAAACAAAAATTCACTTCTGTGGGAACTGCAATTTATTTTACACATACAGGTACTACTAATATTATTTTACTTATTATTTTGATCACAAGGGGTTTTAAGCACAATAAAAAAGTTTAAAAAAATATGGTGTCCTATGGTGTCTTATTTAAAAAATTAAACCCAGTGTAAAATAAGTCCTATGTAGGTAGGATGCTCCACTTAATAAACAGGTTGCTGGACTCTACAACAGCTTCAGTGTATGGATGATGCTAGGGCCCACAGCCCCATGCAGATCATATTGCAGTGGTTTAAAGTCCAAAGGCCCAGATCCACAAAGCACCTACTGGACTAGCCGGCAGCAGAGCATGGTTTTTTGGATCACAGCAGTGCCTGATTCTGGGACTTAGGCACCTACATCTCTTTGTGGATGTGGGCCAGAGCGATATGAGATGGAGTGAAGTTTGTTTCTTAAAGAAAAGGTTGCAATCTCGTGGCAAAAAAAAGAGACAGACTGAAACAAAATCATGTCCACCATTGCCATCTGATCACCTTAACAGCAGGTGAGCATCTAACTAGACACCCAGATTCTGAACTTGTTACAACTGGTGGGCATATACCTTCAATGAAAGCGTCCAATATAATCTCCTCCATCTCTTCCAGGTGCTTCCCTGCAACGTTCCTTCCATTTTATCTGTACTGAACCACAACAAATTAGCTTTTGTCTATGCCCAGTCATAGAACAACCAGTGTTTGCCTATTGTACCATTTGGTTTGGCAAAGATGGAATGAGAAACTTGGGTGTTGTCAGCATATTGAAGGCATCCTAATGTAGGTCTCCTAGCTAACTCTCCTAGCAGGTCCCTGTGTACATAGAACAAGAGCAGTGACAAGCATGTCAATGGACTCCAAAGCATGGCAATAAAAAAGAAGTACTAAACATCTAATCTGTGTCTAGACACCAGTGAGGGCTAGTTGTCTGAGTAACATAAAGAGGCATATGCAGCTTAATTAGTAATAAACTATTAAAGTGAATCTCAGTGAATTCATATGGTTTTCCCAACATATTTTCGCATAGATGGAGCCTAGCCAAGGCTCTTAGCTTATGAAACAGTGATTCATGGCTAATGAGGGCAAATGCCCTCGAGAGATGAATATATGCTACCCCGACATGCTGACCTTTTCTCAAAGACATAGCAGTTTAATTATCTACCATGAAAAGCACAATTATACTACAATTCAAACCCTGATTTTGATTCAGTTTCTGTATTTTCATGAAATAAATAAGTGGGGGGAGTGAAGAAATTGAGGGGAGACTTCCAATGAATGGATGAGACAGGTTTTCTAGCCTCCTCCACCAAATATTAAATAGATAACAAAATGCTTTTAGCACAGTCCTCCTATCTATACCGTAGTGTGACACTATTGTCTAGTTCTACCTTCCATCCACTAGACAACACTTGACACTACGGTATATACAATTTTTGGAAAAGGCAATTTGTGTAACTGGCGGAGTGGATGTTATATGAGAGGGGAAGGATGTAAAGTAAGATGTAGGGGGTCAGGTAGCAAAGTATTATTTTGCCTTAACTGCAATCATATAAACAAATCTTACCTGGGTGAAATCTTTCATCCAAGACTTTCTTCTGGCAAATAATTCAGATTTGGCAACACTAGAATGCTCCATGAATTTGTGTCTGTTTCACCAAACTGTTCATGTTGAAAAAATTATGAAAAAAAGTATAAACATTTTGATATTAAGTATTTTATTTTAAAAATGTTGTGGTTTTGGGTTAAAAGGATTTTTAAATGTTATTAAAATACAAAAACCCCAACACTTTAAAAATGTTTAATTTGACCTAAAATCAATATTTTCCCTCCAGCTTTTTGATTTACCAATATTTTTAAAAAAAATCTTTCAGGTCAACAAATTTTTTTTAAAAAAATACATTTTAGAACTGCTACTGAACCAAAAAATCTGTTATCCAAATAGCTTTACTTGTGACATCTCTGCTAGAACTAACAAAGTCCATTTTCTCTCGTCTCCCAGCCTCATCTTATGGTTAAGATCATGCCACTGTGTAAATGTGCTGATTAATTCAGTAGTTGTCCCTAGGTAATGCATCTACATACACATTTTTTAATTACAAAAGGAAAATATTTTGAATGCAGATTAGCTCAGACACTTTCATCATCTGTGACGCTTTAAAAGTGAGTTGAGCTCTGATCTGCCATATTCACTAGAGTTCTCTTGGGAATGCATTGCCTGTAAAGCATGTCTTAATTTGCTTGGGAGGTATGGCATTTCCAGCTATTTGATGTTTTCTCCCAAATATCATAAATCATATTGTGATCATTAAGTTAATTCCATTCATCCAGGCCCATTTGCTATACTTCTGCCTGCTACCACTTGTCCTATGGCTGTTGGTCAAGCACAGAGTCATCTCTTACTTTTGAAATTAAAAAAAATTTCTATGAATTTATATACATTGGTAAATATAAATTTAATTTATTGCAACTACAGAACCTAAATTTTGGGGGCTTTAAAAATGCAGACTGCAAGGCCTAAATTTGTTCTTTTTAGGAGCAGAAGCGTCTTCTTTCCTTCATGAATGGCTTATGCCATTTATATTAACTCCCCCTCCCACCTCAGCTTTCATCCCTTGCCCTACACGTGACAGAAAACTATGAGCCTCCCAAAGTATAAAGTAATGTTGTTAAACTGCTTATTATACACCATTCTACGTTCCAGCAACATTTTCCATGGTAAGAGGTGATTTTATGGCCAGGCAAAAGATTTCAGCAGTACTCTGTTGGGAAGCTGGTTGCAATATTGTAACCAATTTACTGGCTCATTCTCACATCACAGTTCTCTGTCCAGTTAGCAGAGGGGTTCTTAATCTCTTCCAGTACAGGAAAAGGAAGTAATAATCTGAGGCTGGAGGGGATCAGGTTTAAGGGAGAGCCGAAGGCTGCCTGCATGCAGAAGGCACAGCCTGGAAGGGAGCTGCAAAGAAAAGGGTAGGCAGTAAGCAGCTTGACCTGGAAGGCTGAGAGTTGGGCTCATTTACCCTGTTGCCAGCAGGGGGACAGCAGTAGCCACAGGAAGATGCAAAACTGTTTTAATCTTTTGTTGCAACTTCAGTAGAACCTCAAAAGATACAAACACCAAAGTTACGGACTGAGCGGTCAACCGGACGCTATGAGGAACCGGAAGTAAGCTATCAGGCAGTAGTGGGTAGGGTGACCAGACAGCAAGGGTGAAAAAATCGGGACGGGGTAGGGGGTAATAGGCACCTATATAAGAAAAAGCCCCAAATATCGCGACTGTCCCTATAAAATTGGGACATCTGGTCACCCTAGCAGCGGAGACAAAAAAACCCCACCACAAACAAGCCAGCAAAGACAGTACTGTACTGTATTGCAACTTAAAGGTAGGCTCATGTGGGCTGCCTGTCTGCACCCCCACCCTGTACTCACCACGGCCTGGGGCAGCCATTTTACAGGTAGGAGGTTGTGAACCCTGTTTTCCCCTCTCCCCCTGGCTGTGAGGAGGACAAGCTTGCAAGCTCAGAGGCTGGGAAAGAAATTTCCCAAGCTGCTACTGAAACCTGGTCTGGAGCGTAAGTTGCTGGAGCCCGAGCCCGAGCTCCTGCCTGCACGCTGAACTCCGGAGGAGCAGCTCACTTTTAAAGGGCCACAGCCTGCACTGCGGTGCCCCAGGATGCCTCACCCATCACCCTTGCAGCCAGGGGCTAGAACCAGCTGCCTGTCCCCACCCCCACTCACCGGGCAGCCACTGCAGAGCTGTGCAGAGCAGAGCAGTCCGCCCTGAGGTGCATCCCATAATGGCTTGTTCAGAGTCACAAACATTTCAGAGTTATGGACAACGTCCATTCCCGAAGTGTCCATAACTCTGAGGTTCTACTCTACTAAACAAAACAGTGTCAGAGTGGTTGCCTCTTCTGTCAAGCCAAAGTAAAGTAGTTCTGTTATTTTCCTCACTGTGTCTCTGTGTTTATGGGAACCCAATAAGGACAAGAGCCTGTACAACTGAGCACTTCAAATACCTACTGCACCTGGCTTCTTGCTCATGGTGCGCACAGCATCAATAAGGAGTTAGTTGTGAGTGCTGTGGTACACAACACCCTGCTGTGGGATCAGCCACAATACTGAACAGAAAGGACTGATGCTATTAATAAGGGCTGATTGTTCTAGCCTTACAGTATTTAAAGAAATCAGCTTTACAATTCAGTCCTCAGGTTAAGGTTCCCCGATCAAGCACAGCACGTATACAAACCAGAGTAAAGATTGATGAAAATCAAGCATGTTTTAATAAAAGGTGGGTGTAAGGGCTGTTTGAACGATATTGTGAATGATACTGGATTTGTCACCAATTCTAAATCCTTTACGGCTTATAAACAGATTTTTGAAGGGATTTGGCAGATTACTTCTTCTTGACCCTAAACTTTGTTAGCAGCCACAGGTAGACGAGGGTAAATTTTTCAAACAAAAACTTTTTTTTTGGCAAAAAATGATGGTGATACTGAAAATGTCTTGCAAATTTGTGTTGCTTTCACCAAATAGATAGTTTTGGAAAAATCTGGAAAAAACTGAAAGCCTTTCATTTCAACATTTTCTAACAGAATATTTTGATTTTCAGTTTAAAATGACTTTTGAATTTTATAAAATTAAAGGAAAGTTCTAAAGTGTTAAAAATGATCAAAATTGAACCACTATGTTTCTTTTCACATCAAACAATATTTTGTTCAACCCAAAACAAAATTTTGACTTTTCGAAATTGCCAACAACCCAAAAATCCATTGTGCTCCCAGCTTTAGTCACCAGGGCCATATTTGTAAATTGGACCCCAATCCTTGAGGTACAACAACAGCTCAGTTTAACTCGATAGTCAATTTCCATCACCACTATTTTCAGAATGAAACTAGAGAAAATATTAAACTAAATTTCAGTAACAAATGAACATACGTCTTCAGTGTTTGGAGATTAGTAGTTACAAATAATCTGCTTTATAATTGCATGCAACAAAAGTCAAAGATAGTGTTTTCTTTATGAGATGCATATTTACAGAATATGAATCTTATACAATTGTTGTGTACACAACACCAAAATTAGAAATAGGTAGCCATAAAACTGCTCTCAGAGCTTCCCTTTGTATTTGAAAATTGTTTAGAATTTCTCCCAAGATTAAAGCAGCACTGATGCTATTTATACTTTAGCCTCTGAATGTCACCAAGAAATTCCTCCCAATTTCACAATAGTTCCAGCATAGTCTGTACACTAAGATATTATTGACTATGGGTGCTGCATATGGCATTCAGTGTAACCAGCAAATTAATAAAACAATTGCATCATATTGGTATACTGAGTTTCATACTCCAAATAAAATGGGTAAGAAGGTCTTTGGCATATTTCTAGTTTAAAGGCATCTCTTTCTTCCCCCAACCCCGCCAAGACCTGGTATTAATCACCAGCTTTTTGTTCATTGTGATCCCAATCCTTTAGGCAAATCTGTGGGGGTGGACCCTTCAGTCCACATGGAGTGCCATTGAACTTAATGTATCAAGGATCAGCTTACCAGATCGACTGATGCCAGGGCAGTTACCCGTAGATTTATGTGCATGTCAGAAGATCAAAATACCTGTGTTATAACTGGCTATGCAGATCTAAGAGAAGAATTCTGTTCCAAACATTTAAATAAATAACGCAAATACCAATGTTCTCCTTTCCTTGCTCTTAGGGCATATGGCGAAAAAGTAAAGTAAAATACATTTAACAAAATTTAATAGCCACATGCTCTCAATCCATTTCCTCACACATTTAACCTTATCCAAGCCCTGCATTCTTTTGAGAAAGTAAAGTCCAGGAAAAACAATGATTCATAAACCATGGCACTGTTAAACATTTCCATATGGTTGTAGACTAGCTTCTGTCTCAAGCTCAGTTTCATTGGTGACAATTCCTACAAGTTGCCTCTGTTACCCAATCCTTGTCTCTCAACATTTCCAAAAGCTTTTTTTTTTTTTTTGACCAAAGAAAGATTTTAACCTCTCTTCATCGTGTATAGCTGATTCCTGCCTTTTTCCACTGGTTTTTCACCCCACTTTTTTGTGAGGGGAAGGGTTGGTATAAAAAGCAAATATACAGTAGATATCCCCAGCAGTTGTGAACACACAGGAAGACTGAATATAAGTGACAGGTTTCAGAGGAACAGCCGTGTTAGTCTGTATTCGCAAAAAGAAAAGGAGTACTTGTTGCACTTTGGATGGGCTAGCACCAGCAGGAGAGTGAATTTGTATGGGGGGGTGGAGGGTGAGAAAACCTGGATTTGTGCTGGAAATGGCCCACCTGTTGATCACTTTAGATGGGCTATTACCAGCAGGACAGTGGGGTGGGAGGAGGTATTGTTTCATATTCTCTGTGTGTATATAAAGTCTGCTGCAGTTTCCACGGTATGCATCTGATGAAGTGAGCTGTAGCTCACGAAAGCTCATGCTCAAATAAATTGAATATAAGTGCAAAGTGATCGAAAGAAGAGACCCGTGGGAGCTGCAAGCAATGATGAGAGGTCTGGTACTAATCAAACCAGAAAGAGGAAATAAAAATAGAATCAATATAGAATGGGGGTAAGTAACCAAGCATCTGCAGCCATTCCAAATGCTGGTTTAATTAGGGAGTGGCTACACCATTTTTAAGATTGATGCTAGCTTCCCAACTTCTCCAGAAAGAAACCTCTCCCTCTGGAATTTCATAGGCCACGTGAACGTTATAAAAAATTAGAAATGAAGTTTTAAAAGTATGGGTCCAAATCCTTGACCCCCGTCAAGCTTCTCTGTCCCACTCCAGCTGCACAAGCCATCCTTAGAGCTAGCATAAGCAGCCAGCTGGGGATTTCCTTGGCATAGAGGTGTCCCTGGGTGGAGTAAAGGAAGCTTAGCTTGTTTTATGATGGTGTTTCTCAGTCTTTTCAGACTGACAATCCCTTATTCAAAGTGAATTTTTTTCACAACCCCCTAACATTTGTGATAAAGGAAAAACATATCAATGATAAGCCTCCAATACAACTACTAAATTTAACCTCAAACTTTGAAGATTTTTGTCACCCCAGAGTTATGCTGGAATTTCTTTTTCTTTGCTTTAGAAATGAAATAAATTTTTCAACAACTCCTTGTGAATCACAAAAAGGTAATTGGGGAGTTGAAGTCACAATCCACTAGTTGAAGGACACCTGTCTAGGGCTAGGCCATTCATGCCTAGCAAAGGCAGCTGTTGCTTTCACTGCTCTAACGCACCCACGGTAAGTCTACACTGCAATTAAAAACGTGCAACTGGACCATGCCAGCTGTCTCAGGCTAGCAGAGCTGTTTAATTGTGGTATAGATGTTTGGGCTCGGGCTGGAGCCAAGGCTCTAGGACTCTGTGAGGAGGGAGAGGCCCTAGAGCCCAGACTCCAGCCCGAGACCAAAGGTCCACACTGCAATTAAATATCCCTGAGAACTTGAGTCAGCTGGCCTGGGCATCTAATTGCAGTGGGTGTCTAACTGCAGTAGACATACCCCAAGTGCTCTCCTGGTAGCTGGTGAAAGCCTTCGCAGGGAGGCTTCTTAGCCACTGCACCCGTTTTAGCTTGGAGTGTGGGAGGGAGGTAGCACAGAGCTCTACACACCACTTGGAAACTTCCCCTTATACATGTAATCATTTCAGTCAACTTTCTGGTTGTCTTGTGCTGCTCTGGTGGCATAAAGCCGCTTAGGCTATGGCTGCGGTCTGAGCCTCTAAGCTGGCTTTGAATTGTGTGTATTTAACCATCTGTTAAATTTTGCGTAACAGTGCTGTGGGACATTGTTCTATATTACAGTGTTCTATACTTTGCTTTAAACGGTAGTGGAGTCTCCATTGTAAGTTTTCTTTTAGCCTGTCCCAGGACTGTTTCACTATAGGGTCTAGTACTAATAAAGAGATGTAGGCACCAGAAGTAGCCTAGCTGTCTGTAATACTTTCATGATAATTCTGCCATCTCTCTTCTGTACATTTTTAAACTTTTTAAAAACCCTTTTTCTTGCTCGCATGGGAGAAAAAAAAAAACTGATGCAAAACCTCCACATCCATCCTGGGAATAAAGCACAATCAGTGAAAATTCCCTTCTTTAAATCTAGAAAGAGTGATGGGTTGTGCCAAACAAAACTTGTCTAACATCCCTTTAATTTATGAACTCACACACTCTATCCAATTTTTGCTTAAATATAATCGATTCTACTTGAGTGGAAAGATGTTTTAAATATTATGGTGACAAGCAGGGGAGAAAATGTAGATTGACACCATGACCTCTGTCCAAATCCATTCCATATATTCACAACTCTCTTCTACTCATTCTTATTATAAATTCCTCTTGCATATATTCCCTCTTAAGTTCACCCTCATGGGTTACCTGATCAGATCTTTCTAACAACCTTGAATAGCTCAAGTTTAATTTTATATCTGCTGTTTTAATTAATCTTTAGGCAGTTGAAATGCTTCAGACATGTTCTCTCTTAACTATTTTCTCCCAGGACTATCTAAGC